ACCCAAAATCCTATTATGCAACATAGCTTATCTCCTTACAATTTAGTTCACCATTAACCGAACATTGTAAATTAACCAGAATTTTTCATCAAACCCGAAACCCGTACCCGAAATTTTTGCCAACCCGAAACCCGTACCCGATATTTTTGCCAACCCGAAACCCGTGACCCGAAATGAAAACGCTCCAACCCGATACCCGTACCCGAAGATTTTTTGTACCCGCGGCAACCCTGGTTTGTAATGTCAAGATGAATTATCTGATATTCAAACAATTCCCATGATATCCCCGATATCCGTCCAAATCCAATTATATCCTCCTACTTTTGGAGGTCTATAGGCAGATTTGTTTCTTTTAATGCCACCGACAAAAATTTTGAGGGTTTAGAAAAATCGAATCCAGATTTGTTTAATTTCTAGCACCCGGCTCCATCCCGGACACTCAAAAAACCGGCATATTTAAAATCAATTTATTCAATAAATTAATTTATTTAAAATTCTATTGACAAAATTAATTTATTTAACATTTTATATCATAGATTTAACTCTTTTTTGATAAAATTTTGTCAATTTTGTTTAGATATTTAGTGCATATTTTGAGAAATTTTGCATATTTCATAAAATGTTTCGTAAAATTTTTTAATAATTAACCAGTTATTTGATCAATAAGTGCCATAAAATTATCCTTAAAATTTAAAATATTAGACATTAGATGAACAAAAATACTGCATAGTAAACAAAAAATCCCAAGAGATCTTTTACTACATGAGTAGTTAACCGTAGGGGACCGTCGCGGCTGTCAATAACTGACCCTTTTCCTTTTGGGGTAAATTATTGCCAGCCGGTCAATTAAAACCTATTAAGAGGGCGTTTTAACCTTTTATCTTGCCGCAATTTGTAATAGTATTAATTTTCATCCTTTTGAAGTTGCCGACAAAAAATAACATAATTATTTACAAATTGTTTTTCCCGCGACGGTGATTTTCGCGCAAAATTTTAAAAACAATTTGTAATACAAATTGTTTTTTCGCGACGGTGGTCTTCGCGCAAAGCCGCGACGGTGATTTTCGCGCAAAATTTTAAAGCTTATGAAAATTTTTTAAATACGAATTGTTTTCCCCACAACAATGATTTTCGCGCAAATTTTTCAAAACTATAGTGAAAACCCTATAAGTACAAATTGTTTTTCGCGCAAGCCTCACAACAGAGGAAATATTTCTGGAATTAGTTTGCCCCTTGATAAATATAACTTTTCATCTATGATATGCTGACAAAGTTTTTTATGTATAAAAATACTATAAAAATTTAAAATGAACTGGCAAACTTTAAATACACAATAGTAAAATGGGGATTTGGCGATAAATATTTAACATTCGTGTTGTGAATTTTTAAACTTTCTTGATTAAATGGTATTTCTAATTTATCTAGTATTAAAACATCCCTTAGATTTACTCATCAATCTTCCCTGTTTATCTTTCTTCTTAATATTTTTCCCTATTGATTGGTTTGTTGCATTGTTTTTGTACTACTTTCTCTCATCGTTAGAGCAGTTTTATTTAAAATGAATGACCTTTTGAGGTCAATATTTTCTCTGCTGCTGCTCAATTGACATTTTTTTTGCAAGCGCTTCGCTTTTTCAAGCTCCCATACTATTAAAAGGGAGAGGGAAGCATGAGAAATTAAAGGGAGAGGGAAGCATCCCACATTACCTTTATTTTCATCAATATTTTTAATTTTTAATTTTTAAATTTATTTTTATTTATTTATCTTTTAATTATTTTAAATTTATTTAAATTTGTGTTTAAATTTATTTTTAATATTTTTATATTTATATTCATTTTCTTTTATAAAATCCTGAACGTTGAAAGACGTTCTAGATTTTTCTATTTTCTTTTTCTGAAATCCTGAACGTTGAAAGACGTTCTAGATTTTTATATTTTCTAAAATCCTGAACGTTGAAAGACGTTCTAGATTTTTTTATTTTCTAAAATCCTGAACGTTGAAAGACGTTCTAGATTTTTTTATTTTCTAAAATCCTGAACGTTGAAAGACGTTCTAGATTTTTCTTTTTATTTCATCAGTTTTTATTCTTAAATGTTAATTTATTTATAAAATTTTTAAATTTATTTAAATTTATTAATTTTATTAATGATTCTAAGTTATGTTTTTCCTCCCCAATTTTTCCACTATATTTTTGCAAATGGTCAGACTTTTTCCTTTCATACATCTAAATTGCCTTTCTAATTTTTGCTTACAATCAAGGAAAAAGGATTATTTAATTTCATAAATGCAAGTACATGCCTAAAACAAGTAAAACGAGGAAAAATATAGGGGAAAATTGAGGAAAAGGGGGTCTGTCCGGTTCAATTTATCATTCCAAATCTTTACTAAAGTGATTAAAAATAATATTTTCTAATGATCCTTTTTTTTTATTAGATATGAAAATTGATTAAACGAACATGCATCAGACGAGTGTAAATGAATATGTTTGATTGCATTTCTCCATGTTCGTTTCTCTAAATTATAATTTAATAAAGGATATAATATATATAATTTTCTAGCTTTTGTTTGGGGGTGATATATCCTATTCCCTTTATAAGATAAGTCTTTTTGGGATGGAAGTTCTAATATTATTAGAACAACTGTTCCATCAGGGATGGAACTGTTCTTTTTGGGATGGAAGTTCTATTAATATTAGGACAACTGTTCCATCAGGGATGGAACTGTTCTTTTTGGGATGGAAGTTCTATTAATATTAGGACAACTGTTCCATTAGGGATGGAACTGTTCCTTTTGGGATGGAAGTCCTATGTATATTAGGACAACTGTTCCATCAGGGATGGAACTGTTCTTTTTGGGATGGAAGTCCTATGTATATTAGGACAACTGTTCCATCAGGGATGGAACTGTTCTTTTTGGGATGGAAGTTCTATTAATATTAGGACAACTGTTCCATTAGGGGTGGAACTGTTCTTTTTGGGATGGAAGTCCTATGTATATTAGGACAACTGTTCCATCAGGGATGGAACTTTTCTTTTTGGGATGGAAGTTCTATTAATATTAGGATAACTGTTCCATTAGGGATGGAACTGTTCCTTTTGGGATGGAAGTCCTATGTATATTAGGACAACTGTTCCATCAGGGATGGAACTGTTCTTTTTGGGATGGAAGTCCTATGTATATTAGGACAACTGTTCCATCAGGGATGGAACTGTTCTTTTTGGGATGGAAGTTCTATTAATATTAGGACAACTGTTCCATTAGGGGTGGAACTGTTCTTTTTGGGATGGAAGTCCTATGTATATTAGGACAACTGTTCCATCAGGGATGGAACTTTTCTTTTTGGGATGGAAGTTCTATTAATATTAGGATAACTGTTCCATTAGGGATGGAACTGTTTCTTCTGGGATGGAAGTTCTAATAATATTAGGACAACTGTTCAATTAAATATGAAACTGTTCCTTTTGGGATGGATCCCAATAATATTATGACAACTGTTCCATTAAGGATGGAACCATTCCTTTTGGAGTTTGGACTGGCTTTTTTTTTTGACAATATAAGCAATTATATATTATATCCTTTTTTATTTATTTTTGGCTAGAAGATTGTTAAAATCTATTTTTAACAATTTTCTAGAAAAGCAGCTGAAAATAAATCATATTGCAAGAAGACAAAGATGTTAAGAACTTATAATAAAATTTTTTGAATTTTTAAATATAATTTGTTATATTTTTTAAATAAATTAAAACATTTTTATTTTCAATAATAAATTGGATTGATATTTAAAAATATAGAATTTTATTGCACAAATTTTAGAATTAAATTTTTAAATATTTTACGACTGCCGTGTCGAAAAAGGACGAATTCTGTATTATGGACCCAAAAAATTCTCAAAATTTTCGCCTGCTACGCTGAAAAAAGATAAATGTGGAGAAATATAAGTGACTTGAGCAATTTTAAAAATTTTTAAGTTGTATTTTTGCAAGTACGTATATTTTAAATATTTTCCCACTATGTACTTTAAAATTACGCATTTTGTACATTAATTAATGTTTTTCCGATGAAAACCCTGCCAATACATAATGAAGGATGTCATTATTGGGGATTCATTAAAAATTTTCTATTCTTGATTAAAAATATTTGCACTAACATTTTAAGATAAATTTAATCCGAATGATAGGTATATTAATGAATTTAATAAATACTTAAATAAAAATAAGTTATTAAATTAAAAATGAGTTTAAATGTTGAAAAAAAGAAATAGTTAGACTATTTACTCTTTCACGTGACTTTCTCATTCCAGAAATGATGTTTGAAAGATTTGATATATTAAAAATCAAAACATACAAGTAATTTTAAATTCTAAAATGAAGAAAAATGGAAGAGGAAAGTGAAATTCTATAATTTATAAAAAATATATATTTCCTTCTAAAAGTGACAAACAATTATGAAAACGGATTTTTTTATCTCTTTTAGTTTATTACTATCCAAATTCTATGGTCTCTTTACATCTGCACCCATTTCTATTCTTTTTGACTGTTAAATGAACTTTAAGTCAAATCAGTCACTCATTAATTGGTAAAGGTTAAAAATACAGATGTTTTATGTCTTTGTTTTCTATTTTCAAAATTATATCCAAACCCCTCTTCAGTCATTAAATATTCGACTCTAGGATGACATATATTTTTCGTCAATTAAATAAAGGTCGAAACAAGCCAGATGTTCGTACTAAATAGAGAAAGGAAAATTATGTAAAGTGAAAAAAGTAAAAATAAGGAAAAAAATATAAATAAATTAGGAGGAATAACAGCTATTAAAATTTGAAGGTATCTTAACAATATTTTTTGTTTCTTAAATAATTATATCTAATTTTATTTCGATTGGTTAATGATCAACTAATAAGGGACCGTCAAATATAATAATGAATTATATTTTTAAAATATTTATTTAATGTTAAAATAGCTACATTAAATTTCAAAATTTATTTCAATATCGAGTTTATTCTAAGTTTTCTTTTCAATCTTCCTCCTTTTGTTTGATAGCAAATCAGTTGCTTCGCAGTTATCTTTGACACAGTTGTCGCATAATTCAATCTTTATGATCACTCTATCACCATTGCGAACTATTTTGTCTTTTGAATTGAAGAGTCGATTCTGACATGCTAAAGTTTTAAATTAAAATTTATATATAAAATAATAAATAACCATAGCAAAGGTGATATTGCAGAACAGTTTTCCCTTTTGCAAGTTTCCAAAGAAGCTTTTCAGGAAAAGCTGTTGGTAGTTGTACCATTTTCTCTGTATTCAAAGGAAGAGCCGTATGTGGGGATGGTTGTTCCATAACTGCCTTTAAAAAAACAGTCTGAGGTGGTGATGGTTGTTCTGTCACTGTTTTCAGAGGAAGAGCTGGTGGAGGAATGGAACGATTAAATTCAGGAATAATTTGACTCATTATTTTTTGCAAATTTTCTAAATGATTTTTATATTTGAGTGGAAGTCATATAAAGCTTAAGATTGTCGGGGGTAGGGGGAGGAATCGGATGGTGTATGCCTTTAGTGTAGGGGTAGGGGTAGGAAAGGTTTTAGAATCCTTTCATATTTCCAAAATCATTTTATAAATTTTCCAAAATTTTTGTATTTCCATTATTCTCAAATTAATAAAATGGTTCTCCTTATTGACGAAATTGCTAAAATTTTAAAATGTAGTGTTTCCTCACTGCGCTATCAACTCATTCACCCTTCGAATCGTGATAAAATTTTAAAACAGCTAAAGGGGAAGAAATTGAAAACAACTTATTTAGACATTAACGGAATGAGCAAAACTTTATTTTTTGACGACTTGAGTAGAAATGGAGCGAATAGTATTCTTGCTTATGGACGACTTTCATCACCTTTTAACATTAATGTTGCAGCACATTTTTATGCTCGTCATCGCATAAGACTTAATCATCCATATCATCTGTGTGTAGTCCAGAAAAATACTCATGAAGATAGATATTACCCTTTGGAATTATTAGAATTAGCGGAGGAAGAACCATTATCAGGGTGGATGGCAAATATTTTTATCGATAAAACAACTCAGTCAACTTCTCAACAATCTGAAAAAGATTTTGATGTAGCATCACCTGTACCTCTTTCCGACTACGATGATAATCTTTGTTATGGAGGAAGAAAATTTAGTCAATCGGTAGATGATTTTGAATACATGCAAGGATGGTGATTTTATACACGTAGGAAATACACACGCATACAATTTACACGCGCATTTTACCATTTTTTTGTCTATTTTTTACTAAAAAACACCAAAAAACAGTAAATTTTATCTTCTTTTCCTTAATTTTTCAAAATTGTATCTTCTATCCACTAATTATGCTATTTTACCCCATAAATCGATATCTTCCGCTTGTTAATTTTTTCAAAATAGTATTTCCCTTTTCTTAATTTTGATTTCCAAAATTAAATTTGTATCTTCTTTTCCATAATTTTTTCAAAATAGTATCTTCTATTCACTAATTTTTTAAAAATTGTATCTTCTGATCACTAATTATGCTTTTTTACCCCTAAAATCGATATCTTCCTTTCCTTAATTTTTTCAAAAAAGTATTTTCCATTGCATAATTTTTAAAAAAAAAGTATTTTCCAATTGTTAATTTTTATTTAAAAATTAATAAATATTATGAAATTTTGAAGATTTATTGGACTAACGTGTAATGATACAATAATATAAGTAAGGCAACACTGTTAACTAAGTTAGCTAATCAAGAGTTAGGTAATTAATCTATAGGTGTAGGATACTTTGCCAACTTTAAGTTTATATTTTTATGAAAAGTTTTAGAGTATTATATATTTTCCTTAAGGGCGGTGTAAATAGTTAGAAAAAATAGGTTCTTAAATCTATAGGTTTAAGAGACATGGCAACATTGAAGTTTATATTTTTTATGAAAAAGTTTTGATGTAGTATATCTATTTTTTCCTTAAGGGCTATGTAAATGGTCTATAAAAATTGGTCCTAAACGTAAAAATTTTGAATATATAAGGCTAAGTCAAGGTATGATTAAAATTTATATTTGTTGTGTTTTGCATATTTCTTCTCAATTTCAACTCGGATACGACAAGAATTAATCAATGACTTAGATTATATCCACAAGGTTCGCGCATGCAAAACACGGGCATACGAAAAACACACGCGCATATAAAGCACGTGCATTATATCCGATGATTTTAGCCTATTTTTGCATATCTTTTACTAAAAAACACCAAAAAACTGTAAAATTCATCTTCTTTTCCTTAATTTTTTCAAAATTTTATCTTCTCTTTACTAATTATGCTTTTTTACCCCTAAAATTGATATCTTTCACTTGTTAATTTTTTCAAAATAGTATTTCCTTTTTCTTAATTTTGATTTCTTAAATTTAATTTTTATCTTCTATTTCTTAATTTTTTCAAAATAGTATCTTCTCTTCCTTAATTTTTTCGAAATAGTATCTTCTAATCCTTAATTTTTCAAAATAGTATCTTCTATTCACTAATTATGTGTTTTTACCCCTAAAATAGGTATCTTCGATTCCTTAATTTTTTCAAAAAAGTATTTTCCATTCTTTAATTTTTTCAAAAAAGTATTTTCCACTCCTTAATTTTTTCAAAAAAGTATTTTCCATTTGTAAAATTTTTATTTAAAAATAAATAAATATTATGAAATATTCGAAAAATTTTTTAAATAAAGTGAAACGATAAAATATATAGCTAAGAAAAATAGTAAATAAAAATATAATTCAAAATAGATAGAGACAATATAAGGTAAAATAGATAGAGAATACAATATAAAAATTAAAGATTATTGTGATACATAGCCGAAATTTAATACAGAGAAATCGCTCGGGCAAATGATGCCCTTGCCGACAAAAGGTTTATACATTTTATGAAAGGGTTGGGAGGTAACGGAACTATTTACAACTGAAGGGCGTAAAAAATTGGGGTAGATTACACATATAGGGTCACGATCACCATTTTTAACAAAATTAATAACAGTATCTTTAAAGGTTTCATATCTTAGATTCTGATTGTTCATAACGTCATAATTAAGTGTCATTCCCCTCACCTTTAGAACATATTCATAGTCATCATTTCCATTCTTCCTTCTCAATTTCAATCCATATTGTTTTGCGCCACCACTGCAATATTCAAGAATTTCGTGCTGTGGGTATTCGTCAGTTAAATCACCAAGATGTGGCCCGAGTTCAAGTGGGTTGTTGTCTTCGGGGTGGGCGAAGATTAATGAGTCAGTATCTGAAGAATAAAAATAAATTTTGAAAAAGATTAAGAAAAAATACCAGTGTAAAGTAGTGAACAACCAGGCGTTCGTACCACTTTTTGCATCAACTTCAGGAGGTGCAAGCGTGCGGCGGAGGTTGTCCATAACGAAATCACCACATTTGAGCTATCATGTTCTTCTATCCATTCCTTCTTCTTTGAATAGCGTATCATCAATGTTTCGCTGTTTAATTCTTCAATTGCTGCAACTTCTATTGAATTGTTGTGAATGTATTCCCCGAGTTCAGCTAGATCGTCGGTGATGTGAGTTTGAGTAAATCCCTGATTTCTTAGTGAAAAACGCCCCCAAAGGTTATTTACAGCCAGTTTTGCAATTGCCCTCTTTCCTTTATTTGGTACCATCTTTTCCCTTTCTATCTTCATTCCAAACATTTCCCAACATTCTTTCACAAATTTCTCTTCTTCTTCACTATTTCCTCTTATCTTTTCATCAAAACCGGAAGCGTGGATTTTATGGGCAAGAAATTCCCGCATGTATGGACGGAAAAGCTCGTTGTCTGACTGTTTATATTCTAATACACGATATATTTTGGTGACAATATATCCTTCGTCCAGTGCTGCATTTAATTCAATGGAAGTGCACGTGCTAACCCATCCTCGTTGTCTATCACTATGTTGACAATTATAAAATTCATTTCTTCCTCCATTTGGGTACATTTTGGCACATTTTGCACATAGCGGGAAAAGTAGTCTTTCTTCATCTAATTTCACAGGAAGAATAGGAATATCAATATTTCTTGGTGGAATTACAAATACTTTTAAAAGTGCCAAAGGAAATTTGTTGTCTGCCGATGTTGTCCAATTAACTTCTTCATTTAAATTGTGGACAATAGGGTGTCCAATAGGGTAGTTTGTAATAAAATTCGTGAATGGGTAAAGCGAAGTTACATCATAATAGGATATTTTTTCTCCTTCTTTAGCTTCATGGAATAATTTAAGTGGTCCGGTGCGCCCTCCAAAAAAGCAATCTCTAATTTCCAAAGGACCTTCATCCAAATAATTATCAAACTTCTTCTTCATTTCTCTATCTCTTCTTAACATTTTTTCTATTTCACACTGCCAATAAACTTTTACTTCTGGTATTTGGGTCAAAATATATTCCATTCTTTCTTTATCTTTTTGCCGCTTCTTTCCTGCTGTAAGACCATTGGGTAGAATCATGTTGTCACGTGGATAACAATCTTTACAACCATGCCAGGCGCACCCATTAACTTCTATTCCCAACTGTTCTTCTTCTATCCACCCATCTAATTTATATTTTCCAATCACTTTTTCCCCTTTCCAGTGTGCTGTTTGAATTTCTACGTTGTTTTCCTCTCTGTACCACTGGAAGAACTTCAATGCCAAAAGACTTTGGTTGTCTACATTTTCATATCCTCTTTCAGGGACTATTGCCAGATGATCCTTTTGTAAATGATTGGTGCGGAAATGTTTCATACACGCACTTGCAATAGTCATACACTCCCTCAAAGCATCGATTCCATTATGTGATGCTCTCTTTGTTGTTTCAAAAAATTCATTTCTAAAGGCTATAAGCGCACACATTAATATTTCAACATCATTAGTACAGTAGCTTGCTAGCGCTTCATCCAATAAGAAGGGAGTGTTTTTATTTTCTTCATACCAAATATCAAATTCTCTTCTTTTGGCGGGCATCATTCCATCAGCCAAATAATCTTCTTTTGTTGGGAATATTCTTTTTCCATAGTTCTCTGGTCGGTTTGATAAATGCGGGAAAAATGGCTTGTCTTCTACTTCTAAGCCAAATGTTGGGACCAGTGCTGCTAGAGCCATAGGCATTAAATTATAGGAGTCACGAAATACAATGGTTGGATTCGAATTTGGTCGCTTCGCTACTTTCATTTCATAAAGTTTGTTGCCTTTCATAATTAATTCAGGATTTAAATTTTGGTTGTATAATTTTTCAAAGACGAGAACCATATCGAAACGTCCACCAAAGTGGGAGTAGACGTAGGTGTCGTAGTTGTTTGGAAGGTCGTATAATATCCATAGGGCAAAAGCTTCTAGTGGATTTTGTGAAATAATTTTGTGATCTGTATTTGTATCGTTGTAAGGCTGTTGTGAAAATGTAATAGTGCGGTGGGGGCCGCAGACTTTGCAAATTTTATTTTTTAAACTTCTTTTCCATTCCCCTGTTGTAATACATTTCGGGCATACTATCTTTGCTGCAATAAAGTTGGTCTCATGAATTCTCTGTTGTTTAGCTGGATTTGTAATTTTGTGCTGCATTGTCTCTAAGTCAAATGCCACTAATCGATATGGATCTCGCTGCTTGGGTTTTAGTGGTCTTATGTAGCATCCTCTTTTTGGATCATGGTAATCCCCGCATTTCCCGCAATATTTTTCAAAACAGGCATGCCCTTTGCGACCGTTTCTGTTGTTATCATGAACGTTGTAAATTTCACCACATTTTTCACATTGTTTAGAATTTTTGCAGAAGCCACTGTTTAAGTGATGTAAGTAGCAATCAATATTTTCAAAAGTTTTGCAGCAATCAAGACACTTCCTGTTATTTTAAAATTTATTAATAAAAATTAGTTAATTAAAATACTTATTAAAGTTTTCTTTTTTGCATGGGAACTTTGGTCCAATTTGAGAACATTTTAAGCAGCGGGAACAACATTTAGTACTGTGATTTTGAGGATGACTGTAAACCACTTCGCATGAAAGGCAATAAGGCTGACCAAATATATTCCCAACTTTTCGAACACCATCAAAATGCTTGTTGTCGTAATAAAGAATTATCGGCGTATCATAAATTTCAGGGCCATATTTATACTTTGGCTTGTAATTCCCAGATGATCCAAAAATAAAGACATTAAATGTAAATTTTCCATTATATTTGTTGTTCCAATAATCAACAACTGGACCAACCCAGTCCTCTGCCGCATATTCTTTTAAACCAAATGTAGCTCCAACTTCTTTAATTAACTCGTAGGTTTCCTTCTTAAATTTATTTCTAGATCCATAACGGCCATGTAAGTAATTGTAAAATTGGGAGCGGGAAAGTTCTCCTATGTTGCTAACAAGAGTTGCTTGTAATGCAAAGAAAAGGCAATGATTTTTGCCGTCAATGTTATTGATCTAAAGGATATTTTATATTTAAATTATACTTTTATTATCCTACCTTAATCAAACATTGATTATTAATTCGGTGATGTGTAGTAGCATTTTTTCGACCTCCAAGCGTTTTTTGTCTTTCTGGTAAATTTTTCATATCAAGTGTAGTTATTTTTACATCAAAAGGTTTTCCCCACAGTGTTGTTCCTTGTTGTTTTTTACTTTGACCAACTTTTAAGAAATGATTTAAAATGGAATCGACAGTGTTGTCATTAAGTTGTCTAATAGGGGTCCATACATCATGTTCAAGTAATTCGCTGCTAATAATACATCCTAAATGATCTGCCTCATACCCCTTCTCACGACTTTCTTCAATTGCTGCATCAATACAATGTTGGAATATACCAGCGAGCAGCCCTTCGGGGTCTGCGGGGACATCCTTAATTTGGAATTTCGTGTGGCATTTAGTGTAGCGGAATTTTCTATTGTGAATAACTTGTTGTTCTAGTTTTGTGATGTATTTTTCTGGATGTCCTTGGCCGGATTGCGGTAAATCAATTAATTTTGGTGTTGAAGAAAGAATATTTTCAATAAAAAATGCGCGAGAGTTTTCGGAGAAAAGCTTTGCACGTTTTGTTGGTGGAGGACTCATTATTAATAATTAGTGAAAATCGAGATATTTGAAATTGTTTCTAAATCTGTAATTATTTTATTTAATTAAAAAGAAGAGAATAAAATTATCGATTTTTTAAAAATTTGTAAATTTTATGAAATTTTATGAATGAAGTTTGAAAAATGATGGAAATTATTTATGTACGGGATAAAAAATAGATGGTATCTTAGGATAGGAAAAATGTAAGAGGAGCTAAAATTTTAGTATCATGAGCATTTCAGAGATCCTATTTAAAAAAAAAACGATTAATTAAAAATTTAATGAAAAATAGAAAAATAGAAAATAATTATGTGACCTTGTTCTATGGATAGAAAATTCTAGTAAAGATTTTAGTAAATGAAAATTAATTTGTATGATCTTATTCCTATGGATATATATCATTATTCAATGGATAGATTATTCCTTATGGATAGATGTAAAATTTTCTAGATATATTAAAAGATTTAGGGAAGGAAAGAAAAATATGAGGAAATTTGTATAAGGCTTGAAGAAAAAAATATGAGGATTAAACCAGTTAAAAATTTTAGTAAAAGGATATTAATATTCAAATATTAAGGATATGAATAAGAAGATTTATGAATTTTAAATTTAAAAAAAGAAGTAATTAATTTTAAACTTTAAAAAATATTTTTTTCCATTATTAATAAATAAAAATTTAAAAAAAATAAAAATTGTCGAATAAATTTTCAAATGATGATGGTTCTTTGCTGAGAATACTTTTTCGATGTATGTTACCCTTATTTTCGACTTTATACTATTAGACCAAAGCCACGCCCTAAAAATGACCAATTATAGTAATGCTATTGGATGCGGCTGCATATCCTTTTACTATATGTCTAAATATTTCCTATGGTAATAAATGGAAGAGCAAAAAAAATATTTAATCATTTTATCTACAAATTTTTTAACAAATAAATCTGGATTAGTTTCTCTGTCTAACATATTAATATATTCATTAAATGTACAATTTTGAGAAAGGAAAAATATAAAACATATACAGTGGTGGGCACATGTTTTGGCTAAGGGGGATTGGTAAGGGTTACAATTTCTAAGTATATATGGAAAATGACGTAGGAAATTATTAATTTTACATCCATCTTTGGGTTTTTGAATATTAAAAAGAGTTAAGCTATCGAAATAATTAATTGGTCTTTCCTTTCCTTCTGCATATATTGCCACCCAGTGAGATCCTTCTAAATTTTGGGGGTCCAAGTTTAAAATAAATGCTGCGGGGTATTGTATTGAAGAGTAGTCGGGAAGTTGGTCACACGATAGACACCCTTTGAACACTTGATTCGTTTGTGGATTTGATTCCATTATTTTTGTAATCTGTATACTGTTCATCTAATATTTTAAGTTCTATTTCTTTATTTTCTTTTTTATTTTTTCTCGAAGGGATCGTATTCCCTAACCAAACAAATGAGCGTAATTGATAAATAATTAAACTAAGCACTAGCAAAGCATAAAGAAGGAGCATTACCCAACAATAGACATGGGTATAGTAATTTTCACTTGATGAGGGTGCATCCTTACATAACTGTATAGAGGGAAAATTAGCAAAGGGACCAATAGCAGATTTCCTTGGCAAAGCCTGAGTTGTTGTTAAAATTATATGTCTGTCTGCTACTTGTCTTAAATATTCGGAATACTCGGGTAATTCTTTGATATTAACCCCTTCTTCAACAGTTAATCCACATATGGGAAGGAAAATTCTTAATATTAAAATAATAAAAGAAGCTTTTTTAGAAAACATTTTTATTTCTGTAATTAAAAAAATACAATTTGAAAAAGAGTGAATGAAAAGATAATAAAAGAAATATAAATCAAATAGTTGTATCACTGGTAATCGTTCTATTTTTATCTAGCATTATTAGTGAGTCAGCTTCACCCATCACTATAAGCATTACCCCTCCCTCTGGAATTGGTCGGCTAAATTTTATATTAACAGCTGTTGTGCCATTTTTAATTAAATCAAAAAGTCCACTTTGATCCTCGCCACTATTTGTAAGGTTAAATACAAAGATGCAATGCGTGTAGGCATATTGCTCAAAAGTTATTCCGTTGCTTTCCAGGGAATTTGAAAAACCTATAGCCTCATTCATATCATTAAAAGCACGCGCGAATTTTCCATTGGGGAAATCCAAGTCATAGGGAGCCTGGGGGTAACTTCGACCGTTTGCAATTATACTAATTTCTCTTATATTGAAGGATTGAAAATTAAAAGGACTTCTGTCGATAGCTCCCACGTAGTCATTATTTGAGACTAACCCAAGTATTATCCTCCTAGGAATTTGATCCATAAATAAATTTGCATTGAACTCGTAGCGACCTTGACTAATAAACAAGGGTTTCATCATTGTCTTCCTTATGGCATATCTTGCGGGTCGAATATCCAACTTTTTTGCTATATCTAGAGCTAACCCATCCATTATATCGACTTTCTTCACATATAGTTTACAGTTAGTTACTTCGAAACGGTAACGATTTGTTTGAGGTATTCCTGCTGCTGTTGGTGGGGCAATTAAAACAAAACGTGAATCATTGGGGAGAATTTCTATATCTATTTCACAATGGTTAATTAAATATAAGGGTTGGTTGAAAAGGTCGGCATCTATCTTTGCCATAAACTGTGCTGTATTGCTTGTCCCAAAACGTGCTTTCCTCGAATTAAATCCTATTCCTGCCTGTAAGTTTAATCCTGTGTCTCCATAATACCCCGCAACATTTAGATGGGAATTTTTTGCCGCTGTTGAAAAGCTTAATTCGTGTGAAAGGTAAGACTTGTAGGCCATTAACGAATTGGAGTTGAAAACTTCTCTTCCATTTATACTTATTCTCATATTATTAACAAATGTGTGACCAATTAATTGGATAGGGGCAACAATGTCGTTTTCGTTTAGATTTACCCATGTGCCGTTTGCCCCTTCTTTTCTTATACGGAATTCAGTAAATAAGTAGCATTTTGTGAGATCAATATAATTTTGACTAGAGTGTATTTTGAAGTGATATGGAGTATCAGTAAGGGGATTACTTGGTAGAATTTCGAAAACTTTTGATGAAGAAATGCTCACATTTGTGGGAGGAATTTGAAAAAAGTCCAATGCATTTGTAATCGAATTAATACTATCTTTATCTATTTTGTGGTATGCCATTTTTTAAGCTTTTTAATTTTAATTAATAAAGTCCGAATGCGTCTGATCTGACTCGTTTTTTGTTAACTTTTCCAATAATGATTTTATGATTTGGCTGGGAATACTTTCTTTTATCTTTTATACTTTTTCTTGGACTAACACCACTTCCAAATTGTTTTGGCATACCTCCCTTCTCGAGTAGTGTGTCTATCCCCTTCTTTCCCTCACTAGTTAGAGCGTCCTTAATATTCTCTCCTTGGTTTACTCTTTCCAACACACGCTGCCCAGTGTTTAAAGCCTCAGCTGATACAGTAGTCCCCACACGACGAACAATAGGAAGAAAAAAGCGCCAAAGTCCTCGAAGAACATCGCCTATTCCCGCACCCCCTTGTAATCCATATCCTCTTTGAAAAGGGGACGCTCCTTTGAAATAGGTAAATGTGTTTTCTAAACCGTTCCCTTCTTGAATGTTTAAAGGTGATTGAATAAAATCATCATATCCTACTGTAGAAGTATCAAATAAAATATGTACCATTTTGTTAAATTAATTTTATGAAAAAAAGATAAATGAATACAATAAATGTATGGATTTTAAAAATTTATCACTTTTTTGAATATCAATACTATTAAAACTGTTCCGTATGCGAAAGGAACTAATCGTCCATTGTCTAGGGTTCTTAACTCGATCTCTATCTCGTTAATCTCTCTAGGTAAGACACGGGCATATATGGGTGTATCATAAATCTTTTCGTTATATTCTCCTGGTGTTGCGCCAGAGACTGAAACTACTCGCAGAAGAGAGCTGAGTGAATTCCCAATAATCATATTCTCTGTAAGACCATTTGCATATACAGCAAAACTAGAAAATCCTCCCCTTAGATCAGATCCATATTTTGCAACTTCTTTGTTTTTAATATTTTGAGGGTTTTCAAATCCTAGAACATATCCTAATTGTGGTGACAAAGAAATGTGATCAATATTTTCATGATTAAATAAAAGTCTAAATCTTGCAAAATCTATGTTGTATTCAAAAACAATTGAGTCTATAATATTTTTGAGCAGGGTCAAATTTCCACTTAATCGTATACCACCCCTCAATAATAAAAATTTTGAACTATCACTGTAATTATTGTTATCCGACACAGTTTCGCTCCCTATGGAAAATTCAAACTCTTCCTCTTCTTTATTTGTTTTATTGTTTTCCTCTTCTTCAATTTCTGCTAATCCTAATGAGAAGAAGGGAGTAGTGATGACAGGTGTTACAATTGTTTTTTTAATTCTATCATTTTCTATTTTTTCTAATGATTTTAGTTCTGGATCTTTTCTATCTTTTTCAATTTTAGTAGGGGTTGGTGTAGTAATGACCTTTTCACCTTTTGTTTGACTTTTCTCATTCTTTATTTCCGCTTTCTGACCATCTGTTTTTAAAGGTTTTTGAGATGGGACATTTTCATTAGATTTTATTTTCCCCTCATTATTGGGTTGCGCAACATATTTTTCTTGTTTTGGTTGGTCTTGTGTCAATTTTATTTTTTTATTTCCTTCATTTAATATTTGAACATTTTTATCCACTAATTTTGGAGGGGAGGAAGGAACATTAACCTTTTGACTTTTATTTAATTCTTTTTTTGCATCTGCTATTCTTGGTGGAGAAGATAGCTAAGAAAAGTAATTAAAATATTTTTGAAAGAAGTAATTTAATACTTGACTCTCTTTTGGTAGTGGTGGTGGTGAAGAAAGAGCATTTCTTTTTATTCGTTTTTCTAATCTTGGAGGGGAAACAATTATATCTTTTGACGTGCTATCAGGATCGAAAACATGGTCTATTGAAGTAATTTGATGTTTAAGTGTCGAATTTAAAAAATCGCATAATTTTTGAACGTTTGTATGCGATGCCCCTGGGATTGGTATACGAAGAATATGCTTCTGTCCTAAATCATCTGTGAAGTGTATTTTTAACCATTGCTCATCCAAAGTACCAATAGTTGAGGGCCATGAATAAGGATAACTTATACTGTGTAATCCACACATCCAATTCCCATTAAAATAAAGTGGTTTTGGTAAATGTACACGGAATTTATTTGGTTTATTTGATGAATAATCTGGGACATTACTTGGTAAAAATACGAAAAAGCTATTTGACATTTTTATTAAATTTTGTTAAAATGATACAATATGAAAAAATGATTTATCTTTTATACTAAATCTGATTCGTGAATCCATTCTCTTTCTGGGTACCCAATAAATTTAACAAGTATATCATATGTTCCATCATCTCTTTTCTTTTTTCGGATAACTTTTTCTATGCGGTACTCTGTTGCTGCATCCTTTCTTACTCTAGACATTTCATCTTCATAAAAGGATCCTTTGAATTTTTCCCCTTTATCGTCGCGCAATTTATATAATATAGGATTCACATGATCTTTTACTTTTTCCACCTCTAATATTTCATCTCCCCAATTTGGTAGATAGCCTTTTTCGAAATGACCCTTGTCCCGACTAATTCTTACGTAATCATCCTTTTTAAATTTTGGTTTCTTGGAATTTTTCGTTGAAAAAATATTTCCATAAATTCTCTCCCATACTTTTTGAGCATTTTTAAAATTCACATCTATTGGACGCATTCCATGCACACGACAGTAAGATTTATTAATTCCTTCAATAATTTTTGGTAAAATATCAGTCCAATTAAGTTTGTGATTTTGAGAGAAATATCGGTAAAGTCTTTGTTTTAAGTTTCTAATAGCCCTTTCTGCCAGTGATGCCTTTACTGTAGAATGAGTTGCTTCATATTTTGATATTTCTTCTTTTTCAAAATATTCTTTTAGTAACCGATTTTTAAATTCAGTCCCTTTGTCAGAAAATATCCTGTGGGGTTTCATAGGCATTTGAGTAATAAGATTACGAAAAGCTTCCAACATGTCTTCTGATTTCTTTGATTTTAAAGGGGTAGTGAAGACTCGTTTGGACAATACATCTATTCCCAAAAGTATATATCGATTGCCTTTATTATGCCTAGAAAGAGACTGCATATCAGCTAAGTCCACTTGTACATCTGTCATAAACCCTGCTGCAATAGTTTTACTTCTTTTAAAGTTCACCCTTTTTTGGCGCATAAGGGTATAGGTACGGTGCCCCTCCAAATAATGTTTGATTACATTTCTTGGTATATGTTTAAACGTTTTCTTTGCCTCCCTCCATAAACTATCTACACCCGCATAAGCTGAAGGGGAATTAGGATCATTGTAAAGTCTGTCGAGAAGTTTTGTAAAGTCAGCCATTTTTAAAAATTACCAAAGAGTAGGTTTAAATTTATTAATATCCTCTTGTGTAGGCTTTTGTTTTGCCCATTTATTTTTTCCTAATTTGATCCTTGCAGCGGCTAATCTTTTAATCCAACTTTCTGATGCATTTTCTGATTGTTTCTTAGTAACAGGTCTTCTTACTCTTTTAATAGGAATAAGGGTAGTTCCTTCAGGAATAATAAATTTTCTTTTTAGTTTTTGACGCCTTTTGATATCATCATCCTTTCTAGCTTGAGCTAAAGCTGATTGGTCTATAGGAACTTTATATTTTTTAATATCTCTTTTTCTTTCTAATACTTTTCTTCTTCTCTCTTCTTGCGCAATCTCTTTTAATCTCTCTTGCCTAATATCACTATTTTTTCTACGTTTAAACACATCTGAGTCAGTCGAGTCTAATTCTCTCTTGGATACTTCTAGAGGTATGGGAGGAGAAGGACTTAATGGTGCATTTTGTGATTCTATAACAGATTTTGGCTCTACAATATCTTCATGTGGAGAAAATTTTTTATTTGTTTTTCTCTTTGGTTTCCGTTTCTTTTTTATTTCTCTTTTTATTTTAATTCTTTTACCATTATTTTTCAAATTTCTTTCTAATGCTTGATTTGATGTAGGAGGTCTTGGATCTAATTGTATATTTTGATCACTTTTAGTTGTTGAAGGAATGGAGGATGAAGAAAGAGAAGGGACAATATTGTATGCGTGATTAGAGGGTTCTTGGGGGTAATATGAAAAAGAATTATCACTAATCCAATTGTCGTCGTTGTCTATGTCATCATTTGCAGAAATATACGATGCGCGCCGGGAATTACTTTTAGGTACAATAGTGCCTTTAGATTTATTGTTAACTAGTTCAACTTTAACTGGTCTATTTTCGCGTTCATTTCTCAATTGTAAATATCTCCTCAACTCTTGATTATAGTGAACATTTTTAGAGGATTCACTTTCTTTTCTTCTTTTAGATCTTTCTAAAGCACGACGAGTAAAATCTAGATTTGGTTCACCTACATCGCTTGTTGTAAGACCACGATAAATATCCTCCGGGACAAGAATAAATTTATTTGCCATATTTTTTTTAATTTTTATTTAAAATTTTTAAAATTAATAATGATAATATAAATGAATAGTTAATTTGTATCGGTATCACTTTTTATAATTTTTCTTCCAATTTCTATAAGTATAGGGGTAAGAAGAGCTGTAAGGACACCTCCTAACCCACTTCCCTTCTGTGAAATAATTTTTCTTGCTCCCCTCTCACTTCTAGCACGACTCATGCGGCGGACAAATTCAGCATAGGGTAAAAGACGTTTCCGTTGGCGGGTAGTTAGTTGATAACGTGCTTTTACAATATTTAAACATATTTCAGCGATGGCAAGAAGTTGCTGACTGTTAGCTTGTCTAAGCATTCGATGACGTTTGCTATCCGATTTTGATTTTGCCAATGAATTTAAAAAGTCTTTATTATCCATTATAAGTGAACTAATATTGCACTGAGATTTAGACCCCATTTTTAGGAATGAAAATTATTTTTTCGCTGTCGTCTTTAAAAATATTTGTACGAAGACGTAATGTTGGATCTGAAGAAGCATGCATATCAATTAAAAGGTATCCATAAGGAATATTTGTAGCTTGCCTATAGGAATCGAGAAAATAATCTAACTTCTTGGGGAAAAGTTGAGCACCAATATTTCTGACGGAAAGAACAGAGTTTGGAGAACGCATAATAACTATATACTGTGCATTTTGTCGGGCAACTTTAATTTTCTTTTCAAATAAGTTTTGTGTCACAAATACTATAGAAAAATTCTGGTGGTGTGACTTTTTAGTAAATAATTCCGACAAATATTTTTCATCGATAGAGAGCAATAAATCATCGAGAATAACAAGTGAAGGTTTTGGAAGTCTTTTAATTACATCTTCGGGTGGCACACCAGCGAATACACCTACACCAGATTTTTGAAGAACGGGCACAATATTACTCATTTCACCAAAACAATAGAGAATACTTTTAGGAGGAGGATCGATTAAATCTAATGATTGGGTAATAAATCTTAGGAGAAAAGTACTCTTTCCACTGGAACTTGGTCCAGAAATAATTAAACCGAATGGGAGTTTAAATTTTAATTCTTTACTAGAGAAATTAATTGATTCCATTAAAATAAATAATAGTAATACAAATAAATAATTTTTAAAAAAAGATTAGGATTTACAAATCAAGGAAGCGGTATATTATCTAAATTTACAATATGAGGGGGACTTTCTATAACTTCTTTTTGTTGTTCTTTTGTAATTTTTTCTTCACTCTTTTCTTTTTCTATCGGAACAGTGGCTGTATTAGTAGAAGTAGTAGTGGTACAGCCTATGTTGTCAAAAAATTCCTGAAGAATATTTTCAAATTCTTCATCCGCGGGAATTTCTTGCTTTATCTTCTTAGGCGAAGGCGGCTTTATTGATGATACTTCAACTTCTTTTATCTCGGGCTGGATATTTTTAATAATAGGAGTCGCTGCACATGGTGGAGATCCATGTTCAATGTTGAAGATTCGACCCTTGTTCTTGATCTATAATTTTAAAAAATATAATTTTTCATTTTTATAATAAATACCTTAAAAAAGCAGTGGCCTGGAAGATCGTGGATGGTGTCAAACGATATAAATGTAGGTGTCTTAATTCGCGTACAATAACAAGTCACACCTTCTTTGGTTACAACAAAGTCGAGTTCCACTTCGGATCCTCTACATTCTCGACATCGACCGGCATGGTCAAAAGGCACAAAACGAGGAGTAGAAATACGTTCGGAAGCAGAAATTGTTAGGCCATTAGCAGTAATATTAAATTCTATTTCGGGGAGAACTTGACCTATGAGAGCTTTTTTGTTAGACATATTGATTGCCATTATTTTTTGAGAAAATTTTAAGAATGATTTTAGAATTTGACTGGAAAACAAATTTTGACTTGAGAATTTTAATTTAAAAAATTTTGATTTGAAAAAGTTTTTAAAAAAGCCACGCCCTTTTTTCCAACGCATTAGTGTATAAATGGATAAAATGGAAAATGGGCGGAGAGAATTTCTTCCAATGGAAAAGAGAATGACCATATCCACAATTACTACTCTTCATTTTGGATTTTTCGAGAAAGGAGAAATATATCTCCTTCCATAAATTTTATAAAAATATAATTTTAAAATTATTTTTTCAATGATTTATTATTAATTTATTTTTATTATTTTACCACAAAGATTTTATTTTTTATATATATTTTTATTTTAATAATTTATTTTTATATGTATTTAAATTTTTTAATTTTATTATTTATCTATTTTTTAATTTTTGTTTATTTATAGTAACTCCCTAAGTCTTCACACTCGCAAAACTATTGAAATATGAAACAATTAAAAATATCCTCCTTCCTTAAACCGAAAAAAGTAAGCTGCAAAAATCTGAAAACTATTTAAAAATTAAATTTAGGCTGACAAAGCAATACAAACTTCTCAGCCGCGTTTTACTGCTTATATAGAGAAGTACCCATTTTTTCTCACAACTCCAAACCCTTACGACTTAGCACATTTCGGCGTAGTGCAAAATGCCTTAACAGGCAAATTTTATATTTCAGAATGTGATCGACTTCCAGAAGTAATATTTATATCCTTTTATAAGTTTGTCTATTTATTTAGGAATTCTGGATGCGTGTTTCAAAAGATAGGTTAATGAGCATGGTTAATGCTGTGAAAAATATGGCATGTGTGAATGAAAAGGGAGAAAAACATCAATTTTTGGAGGAAAATGAAATGCAGCCGTTTTGGAAACGACTAGCAAGTGAAATTGTGGAAATGGAGATGTTAGACGAGAACTATTTGGTTGAGGTAATTTATTTTAAAAAAAAAAACAAAAAAATCTTGAATTAAAGAGTTCAACTTCGAACAAAGAAACAACAACAACACCAGAATGGTTTGAACCCGTCCATACTTCAACACCGCGTAATTCGCCGGTATCCATTATCAATTCATCACCAGCACTAGTTGCAGAGCCATATTTGGCCGACTACATTAACGAGGATGAATCTTTCTTCTGATTAAGGTAGAATGGCTCATAAAATGTTTACTTTGTCTGAAATATTGAACCCTTTTGTAAAATTTTTAGTTTCTGAAAAATTTTTGAAAAAAAAGAGAAGGAAAAGGTTCAAAAAACTTAATCTTATGTTTCAAACTAAATGTATTTAAAAAAAAATCCTCATCTTTTATTTATTTATTTAATTTTTGAAATAATTTTTAAAAAACATTTAATTTTTAAGAATAATTTTTGAAAAAAATTATTAATTTTTTAAAATAATATTTGAAATAAATTTTAATTTATTTTTAAAAATTTAAACTTTTCCAATTCTTTATTTTCTTTTTCCTTCTCACTTTTTATTCCTCCCATATTTTCCATTTCATGAACCTCCACCAGTTGCTTTGTAACAAGGTAATGGGGAGGTAATGGTGTTTATATACCCACTAGAAATGTTTATATACCACTAGAAATTGACCATATTTTCAGAATAAACAATTGAACAAATTTTCCATTTGATGAACTTTCTTTTCGCTCTAAAATAACAAAAAAATTTTATATATAAACACGTGTTAATTTATTTTTAGATTGTTGCGCGGACAAATAAAGTACTAGTTTTCTCCCTTTTTATTTTTAAATGTTTTACCGCGTTGTATTTAAAAGAAGATATTATTCCTTTATTTCGGTAATATAAAGGAAAATAAAAAATGACCGATTATTAGCAGATTGCGGAATAACAAAAAAGATTAAAGAATAAAAGAAAAAATTTTGGTAAATTAAAGTTATAAAAAAATATTTAAATTAATTTTTGAATTACTAAAATTTAAAAATTTGCGCGAAAATCACCGTTGTGGGGAAAACAATTCGTATTTAAAAAATTTTCATAAGCTTTAAAATTTTGCGCGAAAATCACCGTCGAGGCTTTGCGCGAAGACCACCGTCGCGAAAAAACAATTTGTATTACAAATTGTTTTTAAAATTTTGCGCGAAAATCACCGTCGCGGGAAAAACAATTTGTAAATAATTATGTTATTTTTTGTCGGCAACTTCAAAGGGATAAAAATTAATACAAATTGCGGCAAGATAAAAGGCTAAAACATCCTCTTAATAGGTTTTAATTGACCGGCTGGCAATAATTTACCCCAAAAGGAAAAGGGTCAGTTATTGACAGCCGCGACGGTCCCCTACGGTTAACTACTTACATGACAAAACACAACAGACACATTAGTATAGCAAAAACCATTAGCAGAATTCTTAAGTAATATAATGAAAGTACTTTCTAATGAGTAGAGACCGTCATTTTAAGTCTTATCTATTTTTGAGAGATTCATTTGATGAATAAATCGAAAAAAAACATTTTTACTAATTAGGATGGATACTTTTAGATTTATTATATGTAACTAAGGCTGATTTTAGTACTTTGTTTATTTGACTAAATCAGAATTTAGTAAATGACCATATATTAAGTGAAAGAGAGGCAAAGGAGTAGCGAACTGAACATTAAACTCATAATTCGAACCTGTATTGACACATTTCGTCACCTATGAGAAATGGGAACTATTAAGCAATTTTGGACCTAAAATGAGTCTCTAATGAATTAATATTATAAAAATACGGCGAGGCATATGCAAAATTCAACATCACATTTAGTCAACCCCTTCTTGTCAATGTAACACTGATCATGAACAATGCAACACTTTGTTATACTTACTAAATATATGCATGTTAACTTTAAAATTAGTTTAAAGGTATCTAATATTAGATAGGTAATTTGTATTCTAATTCATAAGTATTTTCTATTTTTTCAACATAAATTTAATTTTAGAAGAACATTCTGTTTCATTTCTATTATAACGATGTTCATGCTGTGGAAAAATCTGTTGGATGGGAGATGGAATTGAACCATCATTGAATGAGCCCAGGCCGAAGCACAACCGAATGTGCCACCATCCAACCCGATGTTGGGTTATTTATTTTCATTTACACAACAATTTCGAATATTTCTGTCGAACATTTCTCCTATATGTAATATTCGAATAGTTATTTTAATTGACCTTTAGTAAATATTCCTCATTTTCGATGAACCCATTTTTGTGCACGAGACTAGAAAAGCTTCACATATAATTAAATTAACCTAATTCCTTGTTTGAGCAGGAAAATGTGGCATATACACATAAAGCAAGTTCAATATTATTCACTATTTTAGATTTTCCATCTCCGCTTGGACCACATGACCATTTAGGCTCTATGCTTATACATTGTTGTACTCCTTAAAACAAAAATACTTTATTGTATATACTTTTGATTAGAATATTCTTTTTACTAAAATCTACTACTAAACTATCCGAGATAAAATAACCGGCTTAGATTACGTATTAAAAAAGGATTAAAAAAATTTTTTCCACCGATCCGGATAACCGGCCGCGACCCGGTTGAGTTTCTACTCGAAATATTGTAGAAACTTACTTTCACGTAATGAACATATAAAGCTGAAATCAAAATAACGTTTCATCATTTGTGCAACTTTAGGAAGTTTACTAAGAAAATCTTTAGGATCCATGTAAACAGCAGCTAGATCACTTTTATTGAGATCGCAAATACTTCTCTTTGTATTTTTCAATTCATTTGCCTCACGATTGCGATATTTCTCATATTGCCTGTCATTTTCAGATTTCTAAAGTTATACATATATAGTAATTTTCTTTATCTCTCTCACATATTATTTAGATTTTATAGTTATCTCACATCGGTGTGAAATAGTTTCCGAAAGAATGAACCCCCCTCTTTTTTATCTCTTATCTCACACTAACGCAAAAAATCAAAATTGACCATTATGGTTTGACCATTATGGATCAGAAAATTATAGAAGGAAAATTAATATGAGACACCCAGCTTTTCTCACTAAGTAATTTTAGCAAACTCGAAAATTAACCTTAATTTTTTTAAGACGATCCTTAATGCTCTCACGAAAGCTTTGCCACTGTTCTTTCTAAAATTTGTATATTAGGGATAACCTTTATTTTTATTACATATATTATTTAGATTGTAATTAAATAGTACTAGTTTTAACCGTACACAAATATAGTGTCTACCCACTTCTTAGAAGAATGTTAACAAATTCCGGTTCGTTTGACTCAAATTAAAAATTGAGTCCGTATGAAGTTGTAGATTATGCTCCGCTATAAATCGAAATTTAGAGAGCCTAAATTAAATTTTGACTGGATACGCAACCGAATCTTATTTTGCTGTACGCCGAATATATACTATAGTACTTTATCCTAGACTAAGTTACTGGACAATACTGACAGTTTGCTCAAATTTCAAGAGTTTTTGTTTTGTACGAAAATACCGCTCTCCGGTAAATTAGAGGATTTTTAGTATAATAGAGAATGAGAACAGGAGATTAATAGAAAAATAAGTAAATCCTCTAACAAATATTAACTAACCAAATTATCTGGAATAAGCCGATCACCATTACATATCCTAAAAAAATTATAATCAGTATATGTATATGGCAGTAATAAAGCGTATCGACTTTCAAATTCCGCCATATTATGGGCGGAAAAAAGTCAGGGGTTGCCTTTGAAAATATAAATTCATCCTAAAATTTGTTAAGTTAATTTTTAAAATAATCAGAGCTGATCTAAGATCCTGGAATACCTGGAGCCTAAACCAGTAAAAATCTAAAAAGATAAACAATACGTTAAATACCTAGCACTAATTCCTATTTAAAATCCGAAAGCCTAAAGCCTTTGACGTATAAACTGAAAATTATAACTTACATCCCACACCAATTATAAAACTCCTCGCATTGGCCATATTTTTTGCTACTTACACACAACCAGGATCTATATTTGCCCGTTGTCTCATCACTAGGGAGTGGCAAAACATGCAAATGCATATTTTGCATGCGGATATGCCATGAGCTGAAACGCTCAAAAATGGTGTTTTTACGTCAGTACGAACATTAGGGACCGGGTTCCTATAGCATATATTTGCATATTTCGGTACTTTTGCGCATATTTGCATATCAGTGCATATTTTGGGAAATTTTGCATATTTTTACCTAAATTTGTGCATATTTTGGCATTTTTCGAAAAATTTTAGTAAAAATCGGGCAAAATTTTTAAAATTTTGGAATTTTTTGGGAAAAGAATTTTTTATAAAAATTTGTTGATAAAATTTTTCGAAAAATTTTTCGTGAAAAATTTTATTAAAAAAATTTTTTTTCGGATTAATTTTAAGTTCATAAATCTTTTAGAAGTGCTATTAAACTGCAAATTAAATGGTAAATTAGTATTTTTCAGTTGAAATATTGATTTTGAAAGCACATTTTCATTATTTTTGCTGCATATTTAGAGCATATTTCGGTAAATTTGGTATATTTTGGTGCATACTTTGGGCTTTTTCGGTGCATATATATGCGCATATTTTGGGATTTTCCGTGCATATTTTGCCACTCCCTACTCATCACCTTAAGTACAAGTAATTGTTATATCAAATCTTTCAATCTTATATGGGTATTTGAAGCTAAGTTTTGGTTTTAATGGCTGTTCTTTAGTATAACTACACCGAGATCGAAACTTGAAGTATATACCATTCGATTCGTCTCACCGAGCTGAGTTCAAATATGAAAGAATTTTCTGCGGGAGACGAAAACTCGCAGAGATACAGACCCCCGAAAATCAAAAACCATAAGGGGGACCAGCTGATTTTTGGGGTCAAAAATTCGAATATGCAAATGATAGCTCATTCGAAAGAGCTCCTCGAGCTGAGTCGAATGAGACCAAAATCAACGAAATCCGACTTGATTGGACAGAGTTATGACCGTTTGTTTTTACCACTCCCACATGGTCCCCGCGGTAAAAAGTTTTTGCCGCTGCGGAGGAAGCCGGGCTTGTCGAGCGGAACGACGGCCGCCGCGAGCGAAGCGAGTACGACCGCAGCGAAGCACGGCCATCGTGTAGCGAAGACCATGCCCGGCCTACCCTCCGTAGCAGCACAAAAACAGTTTTTCCAGCGAAG